GGCCATATTGGTGTTCCTGAAAGGGACACCAACATGGCGTTTCCATACAAAGCTTTATAAATTTAGGTAAACCGTTTTTCCCAATATCTCGCGTTTGAAATATTTGACAGACCTGATTCTTGGCATGGGTTTTTGTATATTTATCTTTTTTCATTTCCTAGATTCTAGTCCTTCTGTATTGAATGGTTTGCATTTTTATTTTTCATTGCGTGACAGTGCAAGCCGAGAATAGTAATTATAGACGTCCTCGGTGACACTTGTGACTGCGGGTCACAGACCAGTGTTTCCAACCAATAAATGTGTTGAAAGATGACTCTCTAATTAACAGTGACCACTATTTCGTGACTTATGCACCTATCAATGTAATGCCGGCAGGGGGAGGGGAGGCAGGGCGGGGGGTGGGGATTTGATTGTCTTTGTTGTCCCTGGGGTAGGGCATTTGACTGATCTTGTTCTCCCGGGGGAAGGGATATTTGAATCGTTCTTCGCCCGACGTGGAGATATTTGACTGCCGACTCGGACGAAAAAGACTGAGACCGAACATATGTTTCCCCCTTCCACGCTTCACGCATGCGCCGTACGGTTTGAAAAGATCAGGAAGTCGTGAAGGCCAATGAAAACAAGCGAAGGCTGAGTGGATTTCACTGTTTTGTCTTCAAATTTCGTTTGTTTTAGCGTGTTTTTGATCAATTGAACCTCTTAAAATACTGTGGTATCAAAGTAAACGGAAGTAAAGAGAAACCAAGTCGATTTTTGCAAGTACAATTGATTAGTGTATGGCTCATTCGCTACAATCACTGTAAACTTATAAAACTGACTTTCTTTGTACCCTTTACTAAGAACGGTATATTTAGACTTACAAAATGTGGACTTCCTCCGAAAGGTTTATGTATTCTACGCAGTGTAACACGGATTATGGTTAGAACGTATAATTGCAGCTGTAACAGGAACATGTATCTTTGGTGATGCAGCAACGTATATAAAAGATTGCAGAGTTTTATTTGGAGATATTTTTAGGGAACGCGTCCAAATATCGGCATCGGGTCATACCGATGCCGATCAATTGGGCACCGATTTTTTCCGATTCCGTTGAAGGTCGGACCCGATTTTATCGGCACCGAATGAAAGGGAATCGGCAACGGGTCTCAAGTCTTTATCGGGCCAATTAACAAAGGTCATCAAAAATATCTGGCAGCTCAAATAACCCGTCACAAAAGCAAAAGCAAAAGTGTGAATGTTGTTTTTTATAACCTTATCTTTCTTATAAATGTCTTGTTTGAACCGAAATTTAACGTCACGGTTTCGAACATTTGTTTGTATTTCCTATGACAGAGTATGAACAGAAAATATTAAATTTGTGTATCAAAATGGGCACGAGAAGAAACAACAGGCATCTTTTGAGCGAAAGACGGCGCAATGTACATTGCAAGTGTACGATGTGATAATTTTAAAAAATGGTAATTTTAAAATAGCTTGAGCCTTTGCTAACCGGAAGCCAAAACGCATGATTATAGGAATCTTTGGAGGAATAAACAGTTTAGGACGGTAAACGAAAAAAATAGAAGTCAGAACATCCACGACCAAAATGCAAATGTTGTTACCATGTTGTGTACTTTAACTGCTAAATTGCCACAGGAGAGAAGAGGACATCGTCTGAGAATCAAGCTGCAAGTTGTTTATTGGTTGCATATGAACTCAAAAAAGTCAGGGGCACCCAACGAGAAAATAGTTCAAAACCACTTAAACATAGCATTGTTAAACGTATTTTAGTATTTAAACGGTAGATATAGGCATATTTTTATCCCCTAAAAATTTTTCATCTGTTCGGATTTCCTAGCTGAAAGTCTAATGATCCGAAAATTATAGGGATCAAAACTTACCTTTTCGAAAATTCCAGCCAGAAAAAAACTCCCGAAAATTCTAGGTGACCTTTTTAGGGTAAAAATCCGTTAAAAATAGGCAATTATACCATTATTTAGATGTTCGAAAATCCTAGGAGAGGCAGGCAAGCAAGAGATTTTACAACAAATGTTCCGAAAATTGTAGATCTCAAATCGTCTTCCGAACAGATATTTTCCGAAAATTGTCGTTGGGTGCCCCTGAAAAGTGACTGATGGAGGCGTTCAACTGGTTTTCTCTTTCTCGATTGTCTTTCCGCTATTAAATTGAGTCGAACTTACCGCATGTATGCCAGTTTACTTTAGTTGAACACTCCGGTAAAATAGGTTCTGATTTTTGTCAAACAGTCAGCCACCTAGAGTCAAGCGCAATTTTTTCTAAGTGCTGAGAGTGGAAAGCAATTTTACGTGGCACCATGCTCAAGCTCACAGAACATACAGCAAAGTCGCTAAGCCATTCTCTCTTTGGTAGCTCCTGTATGAAGCTTCGTTTCGTGTCTTCCGTGACTCGCGAGTGTGGGAATCTTTCAGTTCCTGTTGCCAATTCCCTGGAGACAATCTGAGGCCCCAATCTAATTGGTCGGTATTTTTTGCCTCAGATCGCATTACACCTTGCGTTTAGGATCGTTGAATGAAAGACGCAAATTTTCGTAAAAGTTTATCCCGTGGTTTTACATCCATGGTTTTGCTCTCGCTCCGCTCGCTAGGAAACACGTTGAGGTCTACTTGTAACAAGTCTATGAATCCAGCTGTGTTTCGAGAAAGTGAGTTCCGGTTGTGTTTTTGGATTGCATTGTTAGAAATTAGTATCGAGTAAAGAACACACTACTCAGTATGGTGTTTTGTTTGCTATATATCAACGAAGAACAGTGGTGTTTTGCGTCGTAATATTTAACTCCTTTTAATTTTCATAGAATAAATGTTATGGAGCAGCGTGGTGTTTGCGATCGACTGAAGGAAATACCTCTGCAAAACGCAGAAAATCACGTGTATAGGCACGCATCAAATCAACAAACTCGAAACACAACATGCAGAAACATACAATATTGCTATTTGTTATGGAGTAGGAAAAAGGTACAGTCGATTGAAATTGCTTTGAAGTGAAACGACTCTTTCATTATTTGGTTTCGTGACACGCTTCATTTTACATATCAGATAAAATAATATGACGATGACACATATGAACATCGGAATGTCAACCGGCTCCGATTGAATCGGCGAAGTTTTTATCGTAATCGGAAATGGCAACTGGTGCCTATAGATCGGTACCGATTCCTATCAATCGGAAAATTAATCGGGTCCGTTTCCCATGATCGGGTTCCCTACCGATATTTGGACGCGTTCCCTTATTGTGCCTTTCTTAGGTTCTGCCTTGGGATTGACAGCAGTGTGCAATCTGGGGTGGGGAAATTTGGTTGCATTTGACTGGAATGATTTGCCCCTGGGCAGGGAATTTGATTGCAAATTTTTGAAAAAAGTCAATTCCCCACCCTATGCCCTGCCTCCCCCCCCGCCGGCATTACATTGATAGGTGCATTAGACACCTTCGAGACATGTAGGTAAACACGACTTGTTGACAGTTTACCTAGGGAAACTTGATTTTTTAAGTGTGACCGATTTTTCCCTAGGTAACTTACCTCGGGGAAATTTTATCGTCTAGATCTTGGATATGTCTCGAAAACAATGGAGTTTCCCTTGACAGCTACCCCAAAGCAATAGCTAGGGAAAAATGAAATACCGAGGTTGCTAGCCAATAGACGCTCGTCGGCGAAGGTCTTGATGACAGAACCGGACATAGATCAAGCTGTGAAAGAAATTTTGGGAGCACAAGTCGTCTACGTCTTCGCCTTTCTTCACCTTGCACGTTGAATTAGCGTAAGAAATAACACCGAGATAAAAGAAAAAAACGTCTCTTTGATCAGCTAGATCCCTGCGCATTTTACCTTCTTGAATTTACGCTCCAAAAAATTTAACAGGCGTGAACATATTGGGAGCCGATATCAGTAGTGTGACCTTCCCAGAATTTTTTCCTAGGTAAAACAAAACCCGAGATGAATTTACCTAGGTAGATTTTTGATGAATTTGCCCTACGTAAAAAGGGTTTACCTAGGTAAAAGTCTGTAGTGTGACCACAGCTTATGTCTCTCGCTTTCGCTCGCTTCGCGAGCGTCCCTCGCGCCTTCGGCGCTCACGCGGTCGTCTTGTGGCAAGTCACCAGTATAATGTACGACTGTGCGAGGGCAGGATTTCAAAATTCGAGACCGAGACACAAACTATATTTGAGACCGAGGCAAAAACATATTTGAGACTCTTAGACGCAAAATCACCCGAAAAACGAGTCTTTCAGACCCATAAAAAACGCTTCCGAGATCGAGACAAAACTTTCCGATAGCCACAATTTTTTGAGGAAGCATCAGTATACCCCTTCTTCCGGTTTGAGTTGTTATTAGGTAAAGAGGAAGAGAATAAAGAAAAGGGAAAACAGGTTTTTCTAACGTGTTTTTTGAAGTCTCTTCTTCCCTGTCAACGAAGGCCCAGTACTCAGGATTACCATATTATTGTGGAACCCAAAATATTTAATCAACTTTATGGGCACATTTGGTATTCGAGTCACGTCCACCGCATCTGTGTACGTGCTGCCTCTCCAAACAAACAAACGAAACATTTTTACTCAATTCCGTCATTTTATTAAAAAAAAAAACTTTACTACAACATCGTTGTCTCCTGAGGTACGCGTTCCTAAAAACGTGAAAAATCAAATGTAAAACGGAACACTGAACGTCTACAGTTCTCATTGCATGTTTTGATGTTTTTAGACATCTTTTTGTTTCCTCAAAGTAACGGGGGAGGGAGGGGTAAAGTAGACTCTTCAAATCCATAAGTGGGGGGAGGATAGCGAAGATTCTGCACTGAATTACTGATAATTTTGCCTTTTGACTGCATGGTGCTTCAAGACCATCAAAAAGAGAAAAAAATCGAAAACAAAAGAAAAGTAAGGACCCAAAAAAATGGAATTCTTAAGAAAAAATAGTTCAACAAAACAGTAAACAAAACTCTCCCCAGTGGGCCCCGATCAGTGATAATGGTCCTACAGCCGCAGCGAAACAGGAAGTCTACAATGTGTAAGATGGCGGAGGCAAAGACAGGTTATCTGAGTTTCATTCTGTGGACAATATGTTGTGTTGGGAGTGAGATTTCTGCCAAAGACATCTACACAAATGTGTGGGCAGTCAAAACACGCGGCAGTGTACAGGACGTGAGGTTGTTGGCTCTCAAACATGGTTTCTTGTACGACAAATATGTAAGGAAGCGTATGATGCTGAGTTGACTTCAAATATCCAAGCTAAAATTTTGAATGCCCAGAGCGCGGTATTGTTTATTTAATTAACTTAAGCTTTAAAACTATGGTTTTCCCATGAGCTGCAATTTTTTGGCTGTGAAATACCACCTTGTAGCTCAGAACAAATGAGTGGCCGTCGCCATCGTGTAGGGTATTGCCAAAGTTATTACGACGTCAGATCGTACGTTGTAGTTCAGGCTCGAACGACTCAGTGAATGCTAAAAACCTCTGTTACCAGTGTATCGCTGATCTGCGTTTAATTAAAAAGCGCTCGATAACATCGTTATTATTCTTCCTTCACGTTGTTGTTGAGTTTAAACTTGCTGTTTACATTAAAAGCTGGCTAAACCTCTCGGGACGGAAAATTTTGTGGGCTCATACTCACAAATAACCTACAAAAGAGCATACAGTTCTTTTGACTGGGATTTAAAAGCTCATTACACTAGGTTTTAAAAAGTAACTGAAGTAAGGGATGATTTAGTGTTGGCCTGTGCCCTGCTGACTATATCACTTACTGAGGCTTGGGTAAGCTTTTACCGAAGCTTAATGAAAAATTTAGTGCAAGCAAGGACAAGGTTAAGGTGAAAAAAAGTATTAAGACTTATGTTACATTTATTTGCACTGTCTATTTTTTACTCTAGCTGTTTGAAGACTATCATGTTTTTAAAAAACCTGGCTTGAAGTTGATGTCTGAAAAGACACCTGAGGCATATGAAATTGATGAAATGCTAGATTTGGATCAGAAGGTAATTTTCTTGATATTATTTAGGTTGGTTAATTAGTTTGTACTTTAAATGAAAACACCAAAAGGGATAAACCAGGCCTCTTAATACCCTAGCTTTTTTTCCCAAATAAAAAGATCATGTGATATTCTCAAGGGAATTTGCTCTTAATTGTCTTTTGTTAAGATCTCTGTTGGGAACACAGTTGGCCCAAGCATGATATGAACACAGGTGGTGCAAGCATAGTATAATTTGTATGGGAAATAACGACTGTGAAACTTAGATGAAAGAAATGAAGTAAAAGCGATAAAAGTTACCAGTAGAGTGTAAATATTGTTACCTGGAGCCCTAGTCTTTGTTTTTACGAAGTTTCAGCGCGATTTGAGTACTTTTACATCATCTGACCTGACAGTGTAATAATAAGAGACAAGGCAGGACAGAATTGCTTGATCAATCTTCAGAGCTGCTCAGAATCAGCTCCAAGTTTCACACGAAGAAACAAACACACTTACATTTTTTGCCGCCGAATCCACAAAATGATACCTTAAGATCACCTTCCTGCAATCCGTTCCAGTAAATCTTACGTTTGGATCTCTCATTATTTCATTGTCAGGTCAGATGATGCAAACTTTTTTTTCCCATACGAACTCTCATATTACACTTGGGCCACCTGTGTTGGGGAAACAATTGTCCATGCATTCAAACCAAGTCCTTGATGCGTTGTGCACCGCAAACACAAATCCTGCAAAATTACTGACAGGTGAGAAAGGCTTATTTTTGCAAAGATTTGGTATCGGCATTCCAATTGCTTAGGCTATCCGTTAACAAAAATTGTCATCTGTTCGACAGGCTCTAGCTATCCATTTGAAAAAGAAATGTTATCCGTTTGAATGACTCAGGCTATCTGTTCGATAAAAATTGTCATCCGTGCGAACGACTCGGGAGAAAAAAATTGTCATCCATTCGAATGGCTCAGGCTTTCCATTCCAAAAAATTGTCATCTGTTCAAAAGGCTTGGACTTTCCCAAGGTTGTCACTAAAATTTCAAGTTGCAGGGTAAATAGAGCAAGAAGGCGAGAAATCGACAGCTAGAGGTTTCTTTCGGTTCTATTTTTCTTCTATTTCCTACGAAAGTACCGTAGCTGGGGACCATGTTTATATATAGTAGCTGGGATCCCCACCCCCGAGCTGAAATTGTTGACTGATGCATTACCATCAGATGACCCATGTAACAAGGAAAATGCAATCACAGTGCTCGAAACCAACTTTTTTAGTCAGTTGTCCTGCGACTAGTAGTGGGTGGCATCTACTAGTCCTGAGGGCAATTCTACTAGTCCTCATGCATGTCTACCATCCATCATCTGGCCACAAACATCTAATTCACACATTAAATAGCATGACTCACTTTTTTAATTACAATAATAAACACTAATGAAAAGTATCATCTTTTATCTTGAGTTTCTTTGGCTATAGGAAATTATTTATTGCTTCCTTTGTGGAAAGACGAATTTTCGTTTTTACTGTTTGGAAAATTTACACAATACTGGCAAAACATTTTCCCTTCGGTTTCATTGTAAACTATAAACCACACAAAATCTTTTTCCAAGCTTGTTTGAAGTCTCTATCTTTCTTTGCCTTTTTCACTCTTTGGCTGCCCGTACGAAATCTTATGGCCTGACTGAGCCACAACAGGGCCTTAATAAGGCCTTAAATGGAAACATAGAGCAAAAGATCAACCAAAGCTGAACCTAACAGCTTGAGCCAAAAAAAATTTGTTTCCTTTTTTGTTTCTAATTTCAACACCATGAACAAAAAGCGACCAAATTCAGGCAAAACATTTTAGGTTTTAAATTTGGTCGACAGTTAAACCCCAAATGTGAACCAAAATCGCTTTGGGCTGTTATTTACATAGGCTCTCATTTTGAATGCTCTACGACGTTTTTAAAAGCAGGCAAAATTTTTTTAGTCGTAGATTAGGTCGCTTTAGAAGCCGACTGAGGCTGTAATTTTGGTGTTGAACAGTTCAGTCGAACCAGCGAATTACAATGAAGTCGATGTGGAGCCACTAGAAAACAAAGTTCTGCACAACTTATGTGTAAGGGAGACATTAAATATTAGCAAAAGTTTAATTAAATAGACCTAATGCAAGAGATTTTTCCAAACAAAAACGAGAAATATCAGATTAATTTTTTAACTCAACTGAAGTAAACATTTACAGATAAAATACGTGCCTACAAAGTTGATTGCCTCACCTTGCAAGTAAGACTAATCTCTTTCTATTTTATTCGCAATTAAATTTGGAAACATAATTGACGCACCTGACGATAGATAAATCCATGCCATGTACGCACGAAACCAAATACTGAACACTTCCGACCAGTTAAAGCTGGATTTAAATAGGTATATATGATGTATTTGAATCGTGGTGGTGCCATAATTATTAAAAGGCCTCTACAATTTAAATACTACAGTAAAAAGGGCTTTACTTTGGAAAAATTTTCGTGACATTGTCTTTACGTTACTGTAGTAAACCTAACAGGTCCACTTGAAACTTTCCACGCATTGTGTTTGTGTGATCGCATTTCTTGATTTCTCAAAAGCCCTGTCTCGATATGTTCACTTGGCCTTAGAGACACATGATGATTGGTTAGTTAATATTTTGGCGGCATTTTGGTTTTTCGTTAGTTGCATCGTAAGAGAAAAACGTTTGTGTAACACAGTGAGAGATCATTTCTTCTCCTGTAAAAGTTTTCCCGATCTAAGTTACATTGAAACTTAACATTTGTTGGTTTGAAAATTAGTTTTCATTACTGCATCTATTTTGATTCGCACAAAAGTCTCGGCACTGTACCCAAAAAGTCCCAAAAGTCGCTGTGCCTTGCAAGGACCGTTTGAAGCGAGGCAAGAAGCTGAAGTGAAAATTTGCAGGACAAAGGTTTGTCAGTATAATTTTTAAAACTGCCAATAAAGGTAAGCTTGTGTGTTTTAAGTTGTATTTAAGGTTAGTGTTTTTTCTTCATAGATCATGCATCATGTTAAATGTTCGTAGCCCTTTCTTTTGGCAGCCAGTAAACAGGTCATGACTGTTTGGAAAAGCAGAAGTCTTCTTGGAAACATGTTTATCTCTATGATATAGGGCTTAAAACCTGCCTAACAAACCAGTTAAATATTTTTGGGAACAATTTCCTAAAGCACACGGCTGTATTTGGTGGTTGTGGGTAACATAGGAAGAACTAAATTACAGAAATCCTGAGAGGAAATAGCTCCGTATAAAATAGTATCACTTTGTTTTTGGTATTAGTACGGGTCGTGTGTCAAAAAAGTTATCGAGCTTGTGAGAGTGAAAGGTATTGATGCGTGGAATTTGTGATCGTCGCAGTGCTGGTGCTCATCTATGTGAATTAGGAATAATATTCAGACAATCTCTTTGTAATTTTTGAAGAAATGCATGAACAGTCTGTAGCAAGTGGACTTTGTACATGATGTGAATTCGTGATTTATACATTCAAAATAAACAACGCGTGACCCGGTTTCGTTCTTTGATGTAATATTTTTTGTAGAAAAATTCTGGTAGCAATGTATTTAAATTTGCTATACTGCATTAAAAATCCAGCTGATGTTTCATTTGTGGCGATTTTCATACAAACGTTTGTCAATTATTTAATACTAACTTTAGCTTGCTTATCTATTTATCTACCTTGAAAATGTACATTTGGCACGCAATCTCGAGTTTGCCTGTGTCGAGTTACTGTTGAGCGAAATCTTGACCAAAAAATGGTTGGATCTCAGCCTCAATTACAGCGTAATTTTGGCCCAAATGTGGTCTAATTTAGCTCGAACCGGATTATAGAAATATACAGCGTGCAGACAGCGGTCATTATCGTGTTACCGTTCAGCCAAAATGACAGCATAATTTGGGCCCAACTTTGGCCCAGTTTTTGCATCACTGGAGTGTAGTTAGGATTTTGGTTCTATTTTGGTAATTTTGTGGCTCAAATATTTATGTTTCAGTGAGGCTCGTTTTGGTTCATCTTTGGTTGAACTTTTTAAGGCCCTATTTTGGTTTATTTTGGCCCGAGTTTGGCTGAAAATTATGGCCCAATTTACCTTCTGGCTAGAGCGTTAATTTTGGTACGGGTGGGAATCACCTGTATTAGCGTTTTCTTCATCTTTCCTTTCTTCATCTTCCCTGCCCCTTTTGAAAAAGCGCAACAAAGTCTCAGCACCACGCCATTTTCACGTCGTTTTTCGGAGTTGCATGACGTTCGCATGATGTTCAATTTGCCGTGGAGTCGACTGAGAGTGGTCTGAGAACCAAACCCGGCCCATTCCCTCACTGTTTTCAAAATGGCGATTGTAAATGCAGAAGTTATGAGCGTAAACAAGGTGATTGAAAGAACAATTTTATTATATTACATGCTGATTTAACAAATGTGAAACCAAGATCCACAGGCTAAAACTTCCACTCGTCCATGAGAACGACTAACTTAAAATTCTACTCGTTTTTTGGCTAATGTTACTCGTTTTAGACGCAGGAGTCTATTAAGCTATTTCTTTGGACAAACAAGTTACTGTTTTTAATCGCACAGATATTTTTTGCATCAGTATGTGTCATCATGAACTTTATTGACCTAAGTTTAAACAGATCTGGCAAGAGCTATTACGAATTAATAAAAGGAGTGCAACATTTCTCTAACGCATTAACGTCTAGTTTTGTACTAGTGTGAGTTGGACACTTTCATGGGTTTTTTAATTGCGCCTTCATGGGAATTTCATGGGCTATTAGAAATTTCATCACCCATGAAATACATGCTAGGCTGTAACCGCCTTTTCAGGGGTCATGAAATACATGTATCGGTCTAAAATATGTGAGACTTTCATGAGCCATGAAAATCCATATTCATGGCTTTGCAAACTTTTCATGGTTCGTGAAAATAACTGGTAAAGAATTTTATGGAAATTTCATAACTTAATTTAGCACCATGAAATCCGAAATCGCTGTTTTCATGGCCATGAAAAAGGGTTCACGGGTTTTTCAACACATTTTCATGGGATTTTCATGAAAAAGAGTTTCATAGTGGGGGCATATCCCCGGCCCCTGCTATCCGCTTAAAAATTCTTCTAACTGTTTCCTTATGAATTTTCACTGTACATTTTCTGCTGAATACTTTCCCTTTGCGAAATTAGACTCTTGGAATTCCTAGGAATTTTAGGTGTGAATTTTCACAGTAAATTCGCACTTGGAATTCTCAGGAATTCCCAGTCTAAATAGATCTGGTTCTAAATTCCTAGTAATTCCCAGAAATTCCATATTGGCACCTAAAGATATGATTATTAAAAGTTTTAAGCTTTCTCATTACATTTGACAGCTGATTTGAACACTTAACCATTTTTCTTAAAAATAAGCCAATGTTCCCAAGTGAACAATGACTTTAAAATTTTTGGAATTATTGAGAATTCCTAGGAAATTCTCATTGGTGTGTATGCAATTTTCGATATTTTCCATAAAATCCAAAGACAGTTACCTTCAAACTGGGAGTTATTGGGAATTCATAGAAATTCACAAAAATTCCCACTGCTGTTTTCATCCATTCCCAAGTATTCCCAGAAATTCCAAGGTTTTTTATCTTTGCTCATATGTATGTCTTGGAATAAACTCTAGAATTCATTTCCTAAGGGTCATAACATCAATTATCAGTACAAGTTTAATTCAAGACTAATTAAGTTATAATATTCAACAAATTTCCCGATAGTGTTATGTTTTGGGAAAAAAAAAACATATAATTATTATGCTTTTTTTCCAAATTATACACTCTCACTGTCAATGAACTTTGCCTAAATCATGCATGCCTGAGGATGGTGATAGTGATGGTGGGCATGATGATGAGAATGATGATGATGATTGCAATGGAGATAGCATTCTTGTTGATGATGATCGATATTCACTGCTGATGTTAAAGCTTCTGTGAGAGAGAGCAGTTCTTCTGAGATATTTGATCATTGACATGCAAATGAAAAACATATGAGCTGTTAGTTTTATAAGTTGGGTTCTTACCCTAGGGGTACGGGCAAGTGGCGGCTCGATGGAGGTTGGCCATTCAGTAGAGGTTCGTCATAAATTTGGTAGTATGATCTTTCGCAGAAACATCACTTTATTTTGAAACAAACACTTGACGGGAGTAGTATTACTGGTCCACAATCAGTCGTCAACTTCTATCTCGGACTGTATTTTCCTTCATCGTACTATTGTTGAAATAAAGCTAAAAGTATGTGTATCAAGTGCTTAATGCATGGCCGCTTAATAGATGTAACAACAAACAAAACTCCCGTTGAAAAGTCTTGAAATACAGAAAAGTCCTTGAAGTTAGGGGAAGTCCTTAAAAAGTCCTTGAATTCCATTTTTCGTTGAAAAGTCCTTGTAATGAGTTTTCTTCAACTTTAAATGTAGTGGACTGGAAAGTTTTTTGGATGCTATTTGGTTGTCCAAGATAGAATATAAATCATAGCTCAGAGAATTTAAACATTATTCACATTAAGTGCTCTGTGTTTTATGCAATAATTATAACTATCAATTTAATACAAGTGAACTGAGAAATGTAGAGATGTTGGTGAAGCAAACAGTTCAAGCCTTAAAAGTCTTAGAATAGGCTGGGAATGTGGAGTTTTGTACAATCTATGAAATTATAGTCCTGGTAGGTGGTCCTTGAAAATCTAATGTGGTCCTTAAAAAAGACAAGTCCTTGAAAAATGGTTGCAATTTTTTTGTATGACCCTGTTTTAGCCTAGCAACTCCATGCTTCCACTTAATGTCCAGACTTACTGTTTCCCTTGCTTCAAGATGGCCCGTCAACAAAACATAGAACTACAAAACCTACATCCAGCTTTAAAGTTATATGTGACTTCCATGATCCCCATTAAGAACTCTTTCTCTAGGAAATTTGGGCCATCGCCCAACTTTTTACCCATTTCTCACTACATTTCCCAGCTTTAGATTCAGAATCTCACATTTTTTTGCCTTTTGCTGATTGGCAAGTCTTCCACACATTGCACACTTTAAACTGTTGACCACTCTTTTAATGGGCTGCTAGTACAAAGGTAATCACACCATGTTGTTGGAATTCTCTTAAGTATCTTATTTTTCATGTAAATACAAAGCTTGGGGCAGGTTCTGTCACCTGTTTTGCCAGTCAATAAAAAGCAAATGTTGAAGGGCTTTGAAGACTCCAAGGCAAAATACCTTGTACATGTTTTGGTTATTGCCAGAAGAAAGTTTCTTATGTGAAATAGCAACCAGTAAAATATATTGCTGCAAAAGCTAACAAACCTTGAAACATACTTTGAAAAGACTTATACATTTCTTACCAGCCGAAATGATTACACATGATGTAGATAACTCACAGCTGCAAACTGATTTTATTCCATTTTATGTCTTTGAATTACGGTCGACTCCCATTAACTCGAACCCTCTAAAACTCCAACCTCCCGCTAACTCGAAGCAATTTTCATTTCCCTTCAGGTCATTTTTTATATAAATTTACCTTCAATAACTCGAACTTTTTTCTATTTCCCTTGAAGGTTTGAATTATCAGGAGTCAACTGTATATTTATGTGTGCATCATGTCATGTTTTTCTTTTTTCAGGTTGAATGGTTTATGCAGCAAAAAGAGAAAAAGTATATACTCCATTCCCAAAGTTTTAATGATCCTTTGTTCAAAGAACAGTGGTACATTGTAAGTTACCTCCTGGTTTTGTATAATTATATACTAATAGCTGTAGATTGTACAACATAACTCTCTTGATAATTGTACTGGCCCAGTATATAATTATGTAGGTGAGACTTTGGGTTCAATAGACATGTTTGATCATAGCATGAAATAAGATTCTTTAAACGATCTTGTAGCCCCGCCCCACATGACTTACATACATACATATATACATACACACATACATGTTTTCTTTATTTGGAGTCTTATACAATAAATAGCATATCAACTATTTCCAAATAACTAAAATTACAAGCAACAAAAAATTCCTAACCATATAATATTATGGCTAATAAGTTAATAATTAGTTTAGTACGTCCTAGAGTATTTACTTTTTGCCGTCTTCCCCTTTCCTTTTCTCAAAGCATTCGAATATAATAATAATAATAATAATAATAATATTTAATACTTATATTGCACTTTTTCTATAAAAATACTCAAAAGCGCATTACAATATTATTAATAACTAAATTAAAAACCAGTAAAATTACCCAGTAAAATTACAATATTTAAAAATAAATAAATAAATAATCTAACTAAAAGCCTTCTTAAATAAATATGTTTTAACAGAGCGTTTAAAAGAGTCAATTGATGTTTCCTGATATAATGATGTTTTGCTATTAGTTTTTGTATTTTAGCATTTCCGCTAGGGGGTTTGTTAGAAACATGAATATTTTGTTAGGTGAAATTCTGCTTATTTTTATTCTGTATTCTTTTTCCAAATAATAAATGAACATCTTTTTTCCTGGTGAGGAGGACATATATTTATGGTATTTGTCCTCCATTTCTATTTTACATATGTTCTGCCCATTTTAACCCCTCCCCCCCACAATAGAAACCTGACCACCTTACCCTCTCAAATTTTTCCCCCTCCCTTCTTCGCTTATAAATATTGAACAGTCCCTAAAAGAAAAAAATTCCATAATGGTTAAAAAAAATTGTTAACTTTTTATAGTGTATGCTGATTATTGCTTTATTTTATGTAGGAGAGACTGCAAGGGCCGACTTTTAACATCAGTTCTGTGTGGCCAACGTATACTGGAAGAGGAATTATTGTGGCAGTGGTGGATGATGGAGTTGATGGAAGTCACCTTGAGCTGGCACCCAACTATGTAAGGCCCTCACTTTTTTTTTTGTTACTGCCAGTTAACAACTATGGAGAAATTGGTGTTTGGGTTAATTGAGTTATATGCATTTGCAACTTTTGCGAGATTATCAGTAGTACCACAGGTGGCCCATTCCTAAAGTCGCATAAGTTTTGAAATACAAGGATTTGTATGGTAAAGAACGGTTGTTTCTATAACGTACCAATTTGAAAGGATTTGAATAAAATTGGGCTAACCTTACTTCGTTAAGTTATGAGTTACTTCTTTATGGGCCTTGAGCCGATTTTTGGGTTTGTTCTCTCTATAATCTCCTTTGAAACCGGTTCCAATATTAAAAAGCTTTAAATCTGCTCTTGGATGGATTTTCTCCACAGAAAAGGATGAAAAATACAGCTTAACCCTTTAAGGCCCAATATCCACGTACAAATTCTCCAAACTGTTCTCTTTACATTTCCATAGAGAATTAGTTGATAGAATTTGGTAGAAGATCGAAGCATTTTCTCTAAGGTGATTATTTCATTAATTCTCACAACCTTTGCTCTTGATTGTGTGGTGATATTGTTAGAAGAAAATTTATGTTGGTCTCTTTTGGAACTTAAAGGCTTATTAATAAGTAAGGTTACCTGATTTTTATTTAAATCCTTTTACATTTGTAATCTACTGAGTCAATCGCTTATTCTCCATACAAAACCGATGGTCGTGTTTCGAGCTTGCCCACTTATGGTAGCACCGTCTTTAACCCTTAGTGAGGATAAAAATGTTCAGGGCTGGGTTGTTCAAAGCTGGGTTAAGATAACCCAGGTTTAGTGCAGATTTGAATTCAAATATAAATGTTTAAGATGCAAATTCAGTTTAATTATAGAATAGAGAAAATTGTCCGAGAAAATGCTTTTGATAAAAAAAAAGAGACTCGGGTTAAAATTTAACCCCGGGTTAGCGCTAATCGGCCTTCGAACAACTGGGCCCAGATCACTAACAAAGCATACCACGTTCAGTGCATAGTCCTATACAGTGATTCGACTCTATTGCCTGATGAAGGCTAGCAGCAAATCACCATCACTAATGGCGTTAGAAAAACTGTAAATTAATAAAGCCATCACATTGTTATCCATTTTTCAGGATGCAGCTTTAAGTTACGATTTTATTGAAAATGATCCAGTACCAATACCAAACGGAAGGCCATTGACAGGGTAAGTGTCTTCTCTTCCCCTGACAGGAGGGTGCACTTCCTTATTTGGGCTAAAAGGTATGTGCCGTCTTACAGGGTGTGGTTATCATGTTACTATTAATTTAGCGTTTTCGACAGCGTGTATTTTCTGCACCTCAAGCCTTGAACAGATCAGAGTCTGAACTTATCATCATCATCATCGTTGTCATCGTCGCCAGCAGTAGCATCAGCATCAGCATACTCATCGTCATCGTCATCAACATCATCATCGTCGTCATCATTATCAGCATCTTCGTCATCGTCATCATCATCATTGCCATCGTTTCGTCCTCGTCCTGCTCTTCGCCTTCCTCCTTGTCCTCCTTGTCGTATATCTCCTTGTCCTTCTTGTCATCCATCTCCTCGTCTTCGTCCCCGGTTGCCTCCTCCTCGAGGTCCTTGTCGTCCATCTTCTCGTCTCCTTCCCGTCCTCCTCCCGCTCGTCGTCGTCCTCGACCTTTTTATCGTCCTGGGACATCTCTTTGGCCTCGTCTCCGGTTGCCTCCTTTTCCTCTTCGTCTTTCTCCTCCTCATCCTCAGGTCACGATTATTTCCCCAAAGTTCATAAAGCTGCGGACTTTTTGATGTTGTTGTCACCGTGAAAAATGAGGCTATTCTTTTTCCCTTCTTAATCATTTACATTAAATAACATTGTTTCCGTTTTAACGTAAGACATTTGAAATGCAATGCGGGTGAATGTGTCTGGACAATGAGTTGAAGTTTCTCTAGTGATAGCCAACACGTTCTTCGTAGACTTCAGCTAGGGGCTTCTTGGCAGAAATCCTCTCGGTCGTTCGTTCGTGGCGAGCAGGTCAATTATTTTCCGAAGCCGAAGACTGGGGCAAATGATTGATATGCGAGACACTGACAAGTTACAAACAGTTTAGCGATAACCGAGTTCAATAAAAAAAAAAAATCAGAAAGAAAAGATAGTTGCTTGATTCTCTATGAGAAACGAATTGAATTAGGGTCATGAGAAAAAATCTCTTGTCTTACACAAATTAGACAGGGTAGTGAACTGTTTTGTTTGCTTGTTTGTTTGTTTGTTTTTTTGCTTTAAAAAGGATAAAGGTTTAAAGGCTTCGCCGGCACAACCCTACCCAAACGTCCGTTGAATGCACCCCCTCCCCTCAGGGGTCTTCACTACTGTTCCTACGTTTTGCAGGACAAGGGATACTGCTATCCCATAGCCCCTATGGTTCACCGGATACTAGGTGGAGTCCTGGTTCACGGAACATTTTATCTCGGTACCGTTTTATATTTCTCGAAGCAGAGATCCAGTCAAAAGAAACAATGCAGTATTAAACATGTAGCCGCGCTCAAATCTCTGACTCCATAAAAGCAACGCCCCGCTGAGGGAAAAAAAGTTATTTGTTCTTGCTTCGAAATTTGAAGTCCCTGACTTAGTAAAACTTTACTTTATCACGGGGGCCTTTACTTTTGGGACATTTTGACCATTAATCATCTTCCACTAGATCAGGGGCACCCAACGACGGTTTTCTGTAAATTATCTGTTTGGAGAAGCAAATGTTGCCTGGAATTTTCTATTACTTGAGGATAGCAAAAAATTTCTAAATGATCGATCCATTAATGTACAATTTTTCACAGTTCACTGCCCAGGTTAAACTATTTTTTTTGCAATAAAAGAAACCTAAAATTTTTGGATTCGAAAATGTAATAGAGAGAGGAATCAGAAAAATCCTCACTTTCTTAATACGTAAAATTTTTCGGGAAAGTAGCACTGAAGCCCAAGTATTTTCGAAAAGACCAGCCAAGTTCCCCTAGAATGACCGAACAGGTGCAAATTTTATAGCGCGGCTTAGAATACATTTCTAGAGATCTAAAAGTACTCTGGATAGCCTAAAAAGTGTTTTCAATGTATTAAGAAGAAGGAAGCCGTCGTTGGATGCCCCTGACTAGATCGCCTTTTATCTTTACCTTTCTCAAACAGACATGGTAACAAATGCGCGGGAGTTATAGCTGGTGCTGCTAATAACAATTTGTGCGGCGTGGGACTGGCATACAACGCCAAAATTGCAGGTATGAATCCGTTCATGGCTTAGATATTTGCAGTGAGCACTTTTTAATTATACAAAACTTTGATACAAAGTAGTTTCGTCGTTCTTTTCTAATTTCGTCATCCCCCAAGTAAATTTTTTCGTTAACTTAGGTCTTCGCATCTACGACAAAAAGATCAGGTCAACGGATGCCACAGAGTCAGGGGCTTTTTCTCACAGAACAGACGTGATTGACATATACTCAAACAGCTGGGGACCTGGGGACATAGGCTGGCAAGTCCAAGGCCCGGGAGTGTTGGCCAGTAAAGCCATAGAACGCGGCATACAGAAGGTATCATTTTAATACTACGTCTGTCTTCAAAAAAAGTTACTTTGAACTTTCTTGCTCGCTCAATTTTATACTATTTTCAGCGATTATCGATTGTTCACTGAATTGAATCAACTGAGCCATAAAAAATTAAGCGTAGAGCCCACAGTCCAACCTGTATATATTGGTCACCCTCGGGAAATGGCCAAGTAACCTCATTTATCTTTATTTATGTAAGCTTGTCTGTGAAAATAATATTTGCATTTGAGTGTGATTCCTGCCCTGGTAGCGACAATGTAGTAAGCTTTTAAATTAAATTCGTTATGTTTCGCTAAAAGGTCTATCGTAGGCAAGAGCCGTTATGGATCTGGTCGTAATTCGATTTGGTGACCTTTATACATAGGTAAAAAATAATGAAATTGTGCATTCGGGAAGGTTGACCGCATCCATTACTCGCAACCGCCATTTACAGGTTAATTTACAGAAAATGTCTGGCAAAAGTTTCGGGATGCAAAATAGAGGACCGTTTTATACAGGTTTGACTGTATAAGATTTCCTAGTCTGCAGTCTCAAGAGTTATCTAACCACATACTTCTAAAATAAAATAATAGTACCAATTGTGAAAGTACTGCTGAAAAGGCCTATTATTTGAATGGTCAGAGCATAAAAGTATAGACTACGAGTAGTCCCCCATTTTTCCTCAGGGATAGTAGAGCGCGCGAGCGAAACGTAAGGGTGAGTGAAAATCACCCCACGCGAGAAAAGGCGCGTGTCGACACGCGTGTTTCGCTCGCGCGCTCTACTATCCCTGAGGAAAAATGGGGGACTACTCGTAGTCTAATAAAAGTACGACTGGAGTCTTAAAGAGGCTATGTCACGCGGATATTGCTGTTTTAGATCAATTATGTGCTTAAGGTGATTCCCTAGTTTTGCAATGCGCATCTCTTACTGCGCATAACAAGATGGCCGCCGTAAAAAAGAGCATGTGAAGTAACATTATTAAAATGGAGTTGACTGAAGAGAAACGCTATTGGAATTTTTGCTTGCTGTTGTTTCTTGCTGAGGTGAGACTCAGTGTGTTGGGAAAGTGTATAACGTAAGCAGTACGCGTGTTGCTGAGTTCGACTTCCTTACGGAGAACCTCGATCGTGGATGTTTAACTTATACTTTCTCACTTTGATTTTCATTTAAACGCTTCCTTTATCAAATTGTGTCCTAAATGGGATATCACGATGTAAATTCTGTAAAAGCGGATTTTTTAATACTTTCTTCCCCCTTTCACATACATTCTATTTTGAAACTCGCCCCAGTCCTCTCTCAAAAATCGGAGAAAATGCATTTGGTGGGCACTTTCTGCAGTTCTACTGCTAAAACGAGTACGGTGACCCCCATTTTTTATTTCATGATTTTAATAAGGACAGTGCTTCCTTTCGATGCGAAAAAAATTGGCACAAATCTATGTTCAGTTTTTTGGCAATTTTACTAAATTGTACGGATTGAGCTATCACGGGTCGAATAGCGCGTGTCCAATTTAATTCTACTTTGGAGCGTAAAGTAAAAACAAGGGCATTAAAAGGCATTTTTCTGGTACGTAAGTGGATAAACAATACATTAAAGTCAAATTCCGTGCGATACCACATGCATCATCGAAAAAATCTCTCCTTTTTGTCTAGTTTTGGGCTGCCCGCGGTTTTTGTAAAAGGGTCCTAAATAGCCGTATTTGTCAGCATTGTGACGTCAAAACGAGCACGGTGACCCCCACTTTTTATTACTTTTTTATCATCTTCTTGACTTGTTACATCAGTGTACCAAGTTTCATCTACAATCTATGTTAGGTTCTTTTACTAGGGAATCACCTTAAAACATAAGTCATTACTTTATTAGTTTACCCATATACAGAATGCTCCTGTAGAAGTATAAAGAAGATATCAAACAAGTGTAATCTGGGAGCACTAACCATAACATTTTTTGGTATGGCATTAAAACTTGAAAAATATTGTTCAGTTTCAATCCATATCCATCTTTGCCATTAAAACATCAGACGACAGTAAACAGCTTCATTGCTTAAATATAGTCTTAAATAACAAAGCTGGACCATTATTTTTGGAATTTAAGAATAGGCAATTTTCGAGTCCCCCCTGACCTGTGTATCAAAACGAGCTGTGCTCAGCCTTTGATATGGAAATGAATTTTCAAATTTCATTCTAATGCAAATAAAACTCACTCGCGCACTTGCCCTCATTTTGAAAGTGACGGTTTTTGAAAGTGGGAAGAGGCCTATTAATGCGAAGACACGTTTTAACTTTTTAAAAATATGGCAAATGGTTTGACCTACCCCCTTCAAAAGTTATAACTATACGTTATCACGTTCGTCAGAGCGCATCCTAATCTTGTTGTGCCTGTGGTACAAAGCCACAAAGAGGTATCGCGAGCGACTGTCGATTTGCCGCTCCTACTAATTTTATCAGGGGCATCTTGGCCTGGAAGCTGTACTCCTTTCGACTCCATTTCGTTTCGAACGCGGATCCGTAATCAATGGTTACCTATAGTAATGAATAGTACCCTGTGAGAAAAGTACTTTTTAACGTGTCTCTTGAATAACTAATTTGTGTATGCATCGTGTGTCGTAACGTGTGTGTCGCTAAATTTCAGGGTCGTGGAGGACTGGGTTCTATTTACGTGTTTTCATCAGGGAATGGTGGCTTTGCTGGAGATTGCTGTGGTTATAACGGTTATGTTAATAGTATTTACACCATTGCAATCAGTGGAGTGAATCTGGATGGATCTCTTCCAGCTTATGCTGAGGAGTGCGCAGGAATCACGGCTACTGCATATAGCACCAACGCTGTGAAAGGAAAAGTTGTAAGTAGAAACAGCGAGTTGATTTAATGTTTTCTGTCATATGTGGTAAAAAAAGGCATCTTTTTCAAAACCGCCTCAAACGGCTCTTATTTAGCTTAAGCCACCAGGACGGAAACTCGATGCTAAGTGGCATCAATGCCTGAGTTAATCAAGTCATATCACCATGGATTTTGCACTGGAAGATCGTGCTTTTTCAAGTACCTTTCTCGTGAATACATTGTCTGACTCAGTTTTAAACAGGTGACACCTTTTAATGCAATAATTCAAAGGCTTTCAACAGAAGGCAGGCGAAGCAATGACGTTTTAAACCCATGCACGCTTACCGAAAGAGGACTTTTTCCAATTATGGGCAGTGGTTTCGCTCAAATTTTCGGGCAAATGAAGTTGTCTCTATTAGAGTTATGACACTTAGCAATACAAATTTGCACGGTACGGTCAAGGCATATTAAGAGGGAAAAGGACTCACCTCCGGTTGATGTGCCGCTCAAAAACTCCTTTGCTTAAGCGCCTTAAAGTCATCCACGGAAAGCTTAAAACTTACTCCCAAACATATGGTCTCCTCTTCAATGAAACAGAGTGTAAGTCGCTGCGCCTCACAAGGAGAACAAAGTCCATAACATCTGCATGAAATTACCAACTCGCTTATGAAAATAAATTTTGAACTTTTTAGCCAACGAGATTTGAATTCAGCTCAGCGTCCATAACTTCATTCAAATCAATCCTCATTTCTCACTTCCTTTGATGATCCTCGTACGTTTTCGTCTGTGTGCTTAAATGTAAAAGTGTTGGTCTGTTATCTCGTCCTATCCGGCGTTGTTTGTAGCCATTTTCGTCTGTTGTCAGTGTGGCAATATTCTTTGAATTTAGTAGTAGTTCTTAGCATATTTTATATGGGGCTCCTGTAACTGAAATACCTCCAAGAACTGCGTGACAAGTCTACATTGTTCGAAAAGACGATTAAAGGATTCCGAACCCGTTTCGCGTAATTAACACTATCATTTGATAGGTGACAGATGAACTTAAAATTTTATCGGTTGTTGGATCTGGGAATGCGCGATTGGGTACTGTCGTGTGAGACATACACATAGGGAGGTTGTACGTGTACATAAAGTGATGACATTTGAATGTTGAGTTGCGAATCCCAGAGTAGCGAAACGTTTTAGATTTTTTGGTAAAACACTTTCACCACATTTTACACTCCCGCCCTCCACGTTGTCTATTTCTTCATACAAGTATAATTATATATCGCTTATTACAATGTGCGGGCTAACATCTCTTAGTGTTAACGTCAGTGTTCACTTTCTGTTTGAAATTTCTCTTTGGTACAAATTTTTATGATTTTTAAGGCTTCTTTTACACTGTTAATAACATATATGCAAAAATTTCAGCAGGCTCGTTGGATGAGAGCACGCCAATTTATCCTAAACAGTGCAGAAAGTTGAAATTTTTGCAATTGCACAATTTGGGATCGTCAACTGGTTGAACATTCTAACTGCCACAAAAACTTTTGGGAAGTAGGCGTGGTAGAATTCACGCGAGTTTATGTGTTTTCGGCTTTTATTTTTTATTTTTTCAGGCTATGTCAATGTGACACTGAAATTTGCGAATCAATTCTCTCCCATTTTTCTTACTGTTAGTATGTTTGCGGAGTCCGTTTGTGAATTGCCTCTAATACAAAAATGTGGGGAAATTGAATTGGAGAAAAAGTAAATGAAACGGAGCTTCGTTTCTGGGTGACAAACCGTGGCATGTTTTTTTATCCAGTAACCAAGAAGTTAGGACAAAGTTTATATTTCTTTATAATTCCTGATTAGGGGAATGAAATTTACCCATCAGTCAAAAGTCTCCCAGCCTTTGGTTAATTTTTTTTTTTCGGGCATTAAAGTGGTCCACCTATGTTTTTTTCTTAGTTGGCTTATTCTGTTACACCTTTTTGTTTTTCTAGATAACTGCTGATAAATTACCGGGTTGTGTTGATAATTTTGGAGGAACCTCAGCAGCGGCAGCAATGGCCTCTGGTCTCATCGCCTTGACACTTGAAGCAAAGTATGTTCCTTTTTTTAATCCTCTCCCCCGTAACATCGAACAAAGAAAAAAATCCGAAAACATTCCCAATTTGTTATTGTAAAATCCGTAGAGATAACTAATTCTTTGCTTTTTCTGGCTAGTCCTTCCCTATCGGTTGACAGTTGTCGCTTATGAGCGCATGTGGAGCGATGGACATGTTCAAGAACCTTTAAACCAAACTAAAGGACGTCGCCTTTAAATGCTGTAGCATGCCAGGGCTGTGTATTTATTGATATTTGCTTTACAAAATTGTGTTCCCTCTTTTTGACTTTGATTTTAAGATATACTGGAATTCCTCTGTTTTGCACTGCGCATCAGTTAGTGCACATAGCATTGATACATCAAAGGTGGCGCTGGTTTCCACCAGTCGCCTAATAAAGAGAGGTTACAAAGACACCTTTTGTCCAAATAGTTAGTATTGCTATGCTAGTATTGAAACTCGCCCCAGTCTCTTTGCGCGAAATGGTCATTTGAAGCCCAAAACTGTTGTCTTTTTGCGGTGAAACGAAAATGGTGACCCCCCTTTTTATTGGTGGTTTTTGAGACTCATTAATGGCTTTGAGAAAAATATATTGTAAGGAGGAAAATCTGGATAGTCAGAAGATGTCTCATTTACATATGAACGCGGACGTGAAGCTCCGCATTTGGAGCCACAGATGAGTATAACATGCCCATTTTTCTTTCATTTTTGCTGGATAATTTGGAGTCACTTAAGTAAAAAAGTGTATAACAGACAATCAAATAGGCTCTAGGTTTTAGTAAGATATACGGTGCAATCCCAATTTGTTGATATTCAAGTGCCACTGTTACTCGAACCAAAAGGGTAAGTGTAGTTTGCACTTCTCCTTCTGGAAACGGAACGATCTTCAGAATAAGTGTGCTCCGAGCAATTGAATTTGTGACCTCCCGCTCTGCAGACGGAGCTAATCCTCTTTCCAGCAGACATTGTTTTTAACCACCAATTTTCCATGCTCTCGATTCTCTTGAAAAATGAAATGTATTACTTTTTAAAACTGCTTTAGTAACGTAGACAATCCTATGAAACATACACCTGGAGGTCATTGCTCTTCAACCTTATACGACTTGTTTTTGTATACTAGTCCTAAATTGACATGGCGTGACGTACAACACATTATAGTTAGAAGTGCAAGACCAGCACCAGGAGGAGTTCTACTCGCCAATGGGTTCTGGGCAAAGAACAAAGCTGGTTTAGCCGTCAGCAAGTTTTATGGCTTCGGTCTTATGGATGCTGGGGAAATGGTGCACTTGGCAAAACGGTGGAATACAGTGCCAGAACAACGAACATGCGAAGTCAGTGGCACTGACACTAACAGGTATTTAATATCTACGGTGTTTTTGTAGTGGTTTGGGGTACCAGAGTCGACGTGATTGTCATCCTTTCATTAAGGACTATGCACTCTCAAACTTACTAATAATTCATAAAGAAAATACAAAGGAAATTACTGTTAATGAGTGTTTGGAAATCAGATGAAAAACTGCTCATTTTTGCATCCTTAATTTCTCCTTCTAAAATCATTTTGTTTGAGAAGTAGTATCAAGCATTCGACACAGTGTTTCATCACCAGATGAAACACCTCGAAGTTCGTCAAAAATACTCCGCTGCGCGTCGTATTTTCAACTTTCTTCTCAGTGTTTCATCTGGTGATGAAACACTGCGTTTCATGCTTGATATATTACGTAATTATCAGGGGAAGGAGGTTCTAAAATGAATACAATAGAATGGAGAAGGGTGATGTCAGTTTACCATGTTACATAAAATGTCTGCATCATAAAAAGAGGTAGGTTAAGCAACGACGACCGCGACAGCAACGAGAACGGGGGAAAAAACAATAGGTTTACATTAGCAAAACAACAACTTTGCACGTGCATGAAGCTTTTTTGTACATGCTACATGAAACTTCCTAATTTTACGCGTCCGCTTTATGGAGTAGGTGAAGACACTGTGTAGTTGCAGAAAATATCCATATCCCCCACGGAGGGCACTTTTGCTTTAGACCCCCCTCCCCTTCAACCCCCCTGGAATTTCCATTCCAGGGTGTGCTTGTCATACCCCCACCCCCTGGAATTTTCGTAATTTTTCAACTTGGTTGGGTACCCTCTAGAAAGAATATTTGTGTCGAAAATGTTGTGGCACTACATTATTATGTGGAAGATATTTTTTCTGCGAAAAAATGAGAAAAAATCTTTTCATTCATGTTCATACGGTGTCTAATAATCTCAAGGCCGTTCTTAGCTAATTGCTGCGGAGCGACCGTAGGGAGCGAGCAGCAAGATAATGAGGATTTAAGGGAAATATATTAGGTGGGACGAATTCTCGAATTCATCCCATTTTACCAGAATGCATTACATTTAACCAGAGTGCATTGCGGTACTTTTTGCCAGAATGCAATGCGCCACGAACAACTCAAACAAAAACACGAGGAAATTCGGTAGTTGAGAGCGTGCATCGTTGCTGCCCAGAGTTTCTTTATGGCAAATTCTCTACAGCACGGTTAGAGAACTTACCAAATTTAAGACACACAGGAGTCTTTCAGATGAGTACGATGGTTAACTCGGGGATTGGATTTCACTTCAAGAGCCTTTGACTCGTCCAGGCGTTAACTTGACGCGGAGATGAGCATTTGCCCTTCGACTCCGCAACACGGGGGATATACAAATTCCAGCTTGCTAGAAGGTGATGTGAAAGTGAGAAAATGTCATGCTATGCTATTCTTAAGAACCTGTATGAAGCCGAAAATGGATGTGATTTTGACCATTAGCTTCAAAATATCAGCGGAAATCGAGGTACCAAAACATATGTTTTGCGTCCGACTTTGCAGACGAGGACGTGTATCGGCGTTTTTGAAAGCATAATTATGTTCTTTCATTCATTCATTGCCATGGAATATGCGTTTACATTGCTTTTTTTACTGTTAATAGCTCGGTTAATGCGGCTCGATCATCTTGCCGGCCGAAGTTTCCCTCGATGGAAAAGGCATTAAGACTTTTCCCCAAAGTTACGTAATCAGCCTCTGTGGAGTTCGAGTCCTACTCCACTCTTTTTTTCCCTCTTTCTTTTTTTTCCCGTTTTTTATGCTGTTGTTTTCTATTAATGCAATAAACAGCAAGAAAAGTATTGTTTTTCCAGAGAAAAGATAGTACGCCGTATATTAAATATATAGATAAACAAACTGAATTTCTATCATTTCCTACAATTTACTGTGGAAAAACCAGAGTTGATAACCTCTTAATCATTTTCTAAACAACGTTCCCACGAGTTCGGTCTATAGACTGATAGTAATTGTTACTTTCCAACATGTAAATAGGACATTCAATGTCATTTTCGATTCTTTTAAGGCTCACTGCCTAACTAATGCCAGTATTAACAGAATGTGCCGCAGCGTTACTATCTTTTAGATACCCTAGTAATTATCCATAGAGGCGATACCGTACACTAACTACAAGAATGTGAATGTCATATGCAAAAGAACCGGGTACATTAAAACTAACGCAACGTGAACTTTAGTAACTTCATTTCAGTTAGAACATTTTACAAAAAGGCTTAAAACACGACCAAATTACGGGGAATCAAATGTGAAATAAAACAACAGCAAGATAACCGGAAGTTTATTCACGAGCCGATGACAATTGTATTAAACAAAACTATCGCACAGATAATAGATGATCAATGCAAACAATAATACTTGTTTTGAAACACCGGTAACAGTAAAATAACTGATAGCTTACTTAACAGAAAAGTTGTTATTTATCAATAACTGACCAATGTTACTAAGACCCACTGAAAAAAAAAACGCTCTAAACAACACCCCACACCCTCGGAAATTGCCTCCTTTTGGACCCCCCCACCTCCCATCGGAATTTCGTTGGGGGTATGGATATTTTCTGGAACAACACAATGCAAACATTTTCCGTTTCTTGTTCTAAACCAAGAGAAGATAAAGGGGACAGAGAAGGCATCCCCCATACACACCCTATTCCATAGGTAATTCGTCTCGAGTTATTTTTAAGACCACAGATCCCAAGGGGGATTAGACAACAGCCAATCACATAGCGCGAATGTGTTCCGCTTGGATGACCCACGCTCAGAGCCACGAGTCCTTCACGAATTGACGCAGAACAAAATGGCAGAAGACGCGGAGAGCGATATTGCTATTCGTTTTGTCGACGAAAACGACTACAGAGAGATTTC